CCAGCAGCCTTCTGTCCCCAGGGAAAGGCACTGGAAAGCACTGACCCCACAGAAAGAGATTCCCAGAGTCACTGAGGGCTTTTTATCGCAAAAGCCAAGGGTAGTACAGATACATTGCTTGAAGAATAATAAGTTGACTTCTCTCAGGAAAGCAAATTTGTTATCTTACATGAATGTGGTAATTTATACAGTGTTTAAAAGACTGTAGCCTGGTGAATAATTCTTCAAATGGAGGATGAACTTTTTTCACCTGTTGTACTGGAGCTGAAGTCTTTCTGAGAATCCTGGTTCTTTATAATATGTATGTTTATTTTAAAAAAGCTTACACTAGGACTCATTTTGACATACCCATTTTTCAACATTTACTGAGTAATTCCAAGCACGTGTCTCATTAAGGGTTCTTATGCAGTGCATGTATAGCTATGCATTGCTATTTTGTCAGTGCCATAATATGCATCCAGAACACTACCTACTGGAAGCAGAAATGAAGTAAAATGCATTTTAGAAAACTTTCTGAAATTCAGATCTTTTATTTTTGCTTCCTGTAGCATTATCCATTCCATTCCTTGTGTTTAGCTGATGCTTCTGCATTTCAGCTCAGTGGGATGATGCGGTGTTGCACACTGTTTCTTATTCAGCCATCACAAAGGATCAGGCAACTACAAAAGCACTTTCCATGATTTTTTTCTGAGGTTGTTTTTTTGTTTGTTTGTGTTTTTGGTTGTTTTTTTTGTGTGATTTTTGTTGTTGTTGTTGTGGCAGCTTTGGAGTGCACAATGGTTCAGGTCTGGCAAGTCTTTCAGATAGGTGTATTCACTGTAGGTGAATCCAGAACTCCTCAACCTTGGTAGATCATGTTCTCATAATGTGATTTAGTGAATGTGCTCTAGGGTATGCATGCTCTGAGTGTGTATATTTGCCTTCCTTCACTGCTATTTGTACAGCTTCTTTTACATTTTTTGCCAGGATGTCAGTGTTTGCATTTGGCCTACTTTGGTTATTATTAGATTCTTTCAGTGCCCAGTAATTGACTCTTTTCTGAGATGCTATGTAAGAGGCCTGGAGTCTTTTACATGTGTTATTTAAATATTTGATTTCTTTCATTGGTTTGTCTGCATGCCCTGTTTCCCTCTTCAGCAGCTTTTATAGAAATCCTCCAGTGTTTTCAAGCCCTGTGGCATTCTTGCTGACATGAAGCAGTAGGAGCTAAAGAGGAGATGACAAGGAAACGCTGATGAGCTACTATGGTGCTAAAGTTGAAACAGAGAGGAGAAAAAAAAAAAAAAAAGCATCTTTGATAGGGCTCAGACCTCCCAGCTCTTCAGTAACCTGGCAGGAAGGGGCAGGATGATGCACTGCAGCCGTGCTATCAGCTGGATGAAATGATGACGGATCAATATCTGAGCAGTGTTGTCAGCTGAATACTTGCATCTTACACCAGTTACAGTCACTGGCGATCACAGGAATGCCTGTACTGACCCTAATAATGAATTTAAAAAGCTGTTCTCGTGAAGTGAAGGGGCTTACACCAAGAAAGTAGATTAAGTGAAATGTCCTAAGTATCGTAGAAATGCTTGCATTTCATAAATGGGTTTGGAATACAACCTGTGTGTTGTTTGAATATGAAGATATTTTTGCCGTTTGGAGGAAGGATAGCTCTGGAGAAGAGAGAAGGAATCCAGAGTTATAGATTTCCTAATTACAAATAGGCATTGTCAGACACTGCAATCAATAAGATGCTCACTCACATTTCTGCATGACTGGAGCACAGTGTGAGTTATCATGGTGTATATTTTTATTTAAACAGCTGTGCAGATGACCTTACAGCAGGGTCAAAGCTGGTGAGTCAAAGCATGCTGCAAGTGAAATTTCAAGGGGATTCCTGACTAGCTAGTGAAATTATAGTTTCACGTGACTAAGCAACTCAAGATAAGTACTGTAGCTGAGAATCAGAATGGAATATTTTTCGCCCAAGTGATTAAGCACAAGTTCTTCACACTGTAAAAATATTTCTCTGAGTTCATTCAAGCATCTAATCATCTCACTGGATCGTAGCCAGAGGCTAACTGAACAAAGTTGTTCATGTGCAGGCTGGAAGCAATGGAAAAACTGTTGCTGGAATATTTTTTAGAACAGATTATTGGAGTAATTCTCTTGAAATTTTGGAACCAAACTCACATGGCAGCTCAACTACTGGGACACAAAACCATAAATACCCAGCAAGTACCTTAGGAAGCATTCTATGTGGGGGTGGGGGGAGAAATAAATTTTAAAAAATCTAGTTAGCGGGTTCTTGTACATTTATTAGGTGATGAAAAGACTAACACATGGCAATCAACCCCAGATTCTTCCTGGCCCGATTGGATACCATACAGGCATTGTGCTCACAGGGATACTGAAGTTCTCCCAGCTCCAGTGTACCCATCAGATGGCATGTGCTGAGAACCCAAAATTTCATTTTGGGGTGGATTTTGTTTAGTTGGATTTTGGAGGTATTTTTGACTTCTCATTAAAATCCTTGAGAATGTGAATGGGATGGGCACTAGCAATTCTGTGAAACAGGAATTGTATCATAGATCTGAAAAACTGAAGCTAAGATGATGATGCAAATATGAGTCAGCTGCTTTCAATCCTCTAGATGTATCCTACTCAGACGTGATGCTGGTGATGATGGATAAACATCATCTTGGTCACTAGAAATAAAACGTTCTTCAGTTCACATGATACTATTAGCATTAAAATGTTGCTGTACCTAGGCTAGTAGTAGATCCTACTTCAAAGGGTTTTTCTGATGAAGGGAAACATTTAAGCCTATTCTGTTACATAGAACCTCAATACAGTAAACTCTCTGAAACACAACAGTGGTGTGGGTTCTGTTCAGCCCAAAACTTTGCTTAACAAAAATAACTTGCTCTTTAACAAGTCTCCTAACTAAGGGAAGTGGTGAAAGCTAAGAAAGGAGCAGAGGGGTGAAAAAAAAAATAACAACAAAAAGCCACCGAGGATTCGTAGGAAAGGGATAAGAATGCAAGATGTGAGTTGTTTCAAAGACAAAGCCTGCTATCCCCAAGTCAGCTAGCAGGGCACTTGTGATCATAGTGACAATTCAGCTGGCTCCAGATTAATTTAAGTGGACAGCCAGTATGGGACTGAAGCACATCTGCCTCATTAACAGAGGAGAGCTGTTCAGGAAATTAACACTGTTGTGTAGTGTGTTTTAGGAATTAAGTAACTGTGATGGAGAAAACATGGATGCAAAAAGACAATTGTAAAGTAGAGAGGTTGTGAGCTAAAAGGAAACAGGGTAGCTGGAACAAGCAGTTGCTGTTTGTTCTTTATGGTTTGATTTGCATTATCTGACTGTCCAAGTTATTTTGTTCACCAGTTACATTGCTTGTAAATTTAGGAAAATAGAATTTAATTCTTCAAGGCACCAAAAACCATAGCTTGAATAAAAGATTGAACTCCTCTACTATTCTGTTGAGTTTGATACAGAACTGACAAATAACTGAGCTGTTGCATGTGTCTGGAGGTTAGTTCTAGCTAGTCAGTGCCTGGGAACTTTATTGCTGCCCCAGGTCTTGTAATGACCAAAAGGACCACGCTAAGAATTTAAACCCAGACATGTAAGGTAAAATTAGAGCCATCTTTCCATTCCCTTCAGTGGTGTTGTCTAAATTATGACAGATTATGTTGCTTTGTGATGCACAGCATTTGAGAGACTTGATCAAAGTTCATACTATTTAATTTTCAGATGTTTCATCTCAGCTATCACCAGTGGTTACAACCATCACATTATTCAAATTTGAGATTTAAATGTTTTTAAAAGGATTACACTTTTGTTGGGTTTTTTTCTTTCTCTTTTGAGGAAATATAAAATGAGCAAACATGATGATTAGTAGAACTTCTGAACCATATGGGGAAGAAGAAGAAAACAAAGAATCAAAAAGTGTGCTGTGCACTTGTTTACCAAGCTATTCAGCTGTTCGTTTTAACATCTGAAAATGTAGTGTGCAACTTAATGCTGCTTACCTTCAGCTAATCCTCCTGCATACAAAGAATAACCAGAAAATAAGAATATTCTTCCTTCGAGATGTAGCTCGAGTGATATTTAGAAACAGTAGCTTAAGGTATATATCAGGCACTCCTAAGTTTTCTTTGCTCTGCTGTGCTAAAATCTTGTCTTCCAATTCAAGGTCTCAGTCTAAGATAGCATTAAAATTAACTTTGTTATTTATTGGCTGTTTTGTTTTAAAAATATTTCTGTAACAACTCTTCTAGCAATCTGAACATTTGATGCAAAAACTGGAGAGAAAGTTATGAAAGAGGTTATTCATTGAAGTTTCATTTTTAATAAAAAATAGAGATGGGATATAGGTGAAAAATAGTATTCACTAAAACACTGAATAGACACTGAAAATTCTGATGGTAAGGATGTAGGATGGCAGGGATGACAGGCACCCATAGCCTGGGCAGTGCAGCCTGGCACTGGCAGGAAGGTGGTTCAATCCTGAGGATGGATGGATCCCGTTTACAGCTACTCTTGATTTTCAAAAAGCATCACTAGTTAATGAAACTTGTGTCATGACTCAAGTGCCATCTCATCACCTTTCATCAAAGACCAAAATGATTTTCTAAGAATTGCAGCATTTTTTGTGGTTATTAACCTGTAGAAACTAGAATAGTGTTGCACCATGCTGTCCCTTCCCAAAAATTTGTAGGAAGGAAGCTGAAGCATTTAACATTTAGATTTTGGTCAGACAGTCTAAGATATCTGGAGGCATTTTAAATAATAATATGATTAAAATATTCATATTAATTGAATTACAATATGAAAATATTACTTCCATGTAGTGAGCTTTTGGTGCAGACATGCTGGAAAAACATCACGGAATACATTGCTGTATGGTGACTATAGAATGGCACCTCCTTGATATACTAGCCCAGCATTAGCAGTACTCTCATCTCTATTTTTGTAGCTTTTATTCTGAAATTCTGAGGGAAGTTGTTCTCTGATGTCGCTGAATTGGAAGATGTTCAGACATCTAATGCTGGAGATAGACATCTGCTGTGTGGAGAGCCTGAGCAGGGAGATTTGCTCAGTAAAGCAGATCAGATGGTGGGCCAGAATCTCGGCCTTGATAAAGGTGTGGTTGTACTCATGACTGGCACCAAAGTGGTCATAAAACCAGCCTACAGCAGCCATGGAGAATGTGCAGCCTGGGTAAGCTGGATGGAGGCCAACCCCCCTTCTTTTTATGGTCTTCCTTCTTTCCACACCTCCTTTTATCCAGCTAATGGCTCTTGGTGAGAAGTTAGAAAGGGTGGGCACAGGGCCAGGGTAATGTCCCTGTTTGCCCCAGCAACATTCAGGCTGCAAAGCAAGCCTTGGCATTGCATGTATAAATTGCAGAGACTTATCTGTAGCCAGGTCTGAGCAGAGCAGCTGGCCTCATGCTGCCCATTTGGCCTGTGCACACCAGTGTGCTTACAAACAAAGCCCAGTGCTGGAGATTCTCTTGTGTTCTTTTTTTTGTTTGTTTTGGTTTGGTTTGGTTTTTTGTGTTTTTTTTTTTTTTTTTTTTTTTTTTTTTTTTGTCAGGCAACAGTTAAGGAAATATTTGCTGCTTCCTCCCTGCAAAGTTTGCTCTGTCTCACCTTTCGTCTAGGCATAGTTATAATTTAAATCTGTCATGCTTCTGAGTCCCAGACTGTCTATTTAAAAAATGCTGAATGCATTCTTTAGCCAGGATTTCACAAACTGAAATTCCAAAAAAATAAATTCCATTTAGAAGCAAACAGAAAAAAAAAAAAACTTTTCCTAAAAGGTTATCTAATTGTTTTTCTACTTACTGTCTATTGATTATGCCTCTATATTTCAAATAATTCTTCATCTCATTATCTCTAAGCACTGCAATTATGGCCAATTATAATAATACATATGTTGTATAATTACATTATGTCCACTGGTGACTGAAAATCTAAGCTGATATAACTGGATACAGAGTCTGGATGCGGATATTTTGCTCTTCTGATGTAAGGCAGTCTCCCCAGTGTCATTGGAAAGAAAGTGTGCTTTTGCAGAACTGCTTTTCTTGTTGGAGATGAAAGATGCAGTGGGTAATACAGTAGCTAGAGCACTAGAGCAAACTTGAAAATCCTTGCTACCATCACAAAAGTAACTAAATGTATAAAGTTTTGTTGCTTGGCCATCAATAATGATATTAGATTGTACCACATTGAGACCTTATCCCTAAATGTAAGCCTTTTTGATAGTGGTTGAGAAAAGCTTAACTTCAGCTCCTTTGAGTGAGAATTCAGAGGATCTGCCTTCGCTGTCAGGAAGAGGATATTAGAGCTTTGTTAACCAGATGTCCTGGCAAAACTGGGTAACTGAATTAGAATGGAACTGACACTCTTTTTCTCTTCAGGATACAAAATTTCCTCAGGCAGGGCTTCTCAGAACTGAGGAGGCAATTGCTTCAATGACTTAAGTTTCTCTCTGTGGTGATTTTACCTAAACAAGATTCACTATGTTTCTACTTGTTTGTGTGCAAGCATTACATTCTCTCACGTTGCTATGTATCTGGACAGGTCCATAACTAACCTGCTTATGTCACTGTGTGTCCATCACAGGAAAAAAAAAAAAAAGACTAATTTAGCAGAAAACTTCTGTTCAACTACCCTGTGACTGGAGAGGATTAATGCTATCTGCTTTGTAGAACAATTAATGGCACCCAATGCCATTTTAGATATTCAGGGTTTCCTATCAAGCCTTTGTCTGCTGCATGGGAGCATGGTAGGTCTCCTCTGTGTGCTACATCCCATTGCCAGTCCCCCATAGAAGTCACAGATACCCTTGGATGTCTCAAATGTCAGTGGACAAACACATTTGAGCATTTGAACATTACCTTCCCCCGTGTGAAATGTGAAATACTTAATTGCAACAATAAAAGCTGTTCCAAGGTACTGTCACTGATGTGTTCCATCCTTAAGAAAGTAACATCCAAGCCATTGTGAAGTCTGATGGAAACCTATAAGCAAATCTTATAAGCCATTTTGTGCAACCTGGAATTGGAAACTTGAATCCTTAGCAAATTTGCTCATTACTCCAGGAAGCAAAGAAATGATATGGTTACAAAACAATACAATTTCTAAAGTAAAACTTTTTTTTTTTTTTTTTAATATATAATTTAATATAAATAAAATCAAAAGCAGTTTCTTAGAAACCAAAATAATTTTGGTACTGTTATGATGTGTTGTACTGTGCATCAAAGATTTTTTATGACATTGATAAAAATTAAGCTGGATCCTATGGAGCTGTGACAGTTTACAGCAAAAGAGTTTTTGGTCAGTGATAAATTATCGTCAGGGGAATATTTTCTTATCTATAAAACTATCATATTCATGACTTCAGTAACAAAAGAGAATCTTTACATAAAATATCTCAAATTGAAAAGCAGAAGTCTTCAAGGTTAACCAATGCAGTAAACTGAATTTGAGTATGCATAAAGAATAAGTTTTAAAAAATTTGTGGAGTATATATTTACAGCAGAAGAATAAGTAGCACACAGCATCCATATTTACACTTGTATCATTCATTTACAGTCATTTCAGTGGTACATAACAAATTCAGTCAGCATCTGGCAAATTGTTGACAAGCTCAGAAGTCGTGTTATTGTTGTTCAATAGGAAAGAGTGAGGGCAACTTTACAGTTAGTTACTTTACAATCAGCAGGTTTCAGCTGTTGATTTTCATGTTGGGTTCTGTTCTTTTTATATATAAAACACAACAAAATAGCTTTCTTCTCTCCAGAGGAGAGTAAGCTAGCTGTGTAATAATGCTCGTTAGATGTTTAGCTTTGAATATTTTAAAATGTTGACCTAGCACTGCCTAGAGAATGTGGTTGGAGTGTGAAAGTGAGGCTTCATGATAGAAAATATGAGGATGTTTTTAGATAAAATTTTAAATTAAAAATGTCATAATCTGAAATCTTTAGAAGAAAAAAAATGTCCTGTAGAAGTTTTTGATTAATGAGTAAGGTTTCTACTTTTTTAATGGGAAACTTGCACTGATTTCTATCTATGACTCTGTTGTCTTAGCATCTCTGACACATTGCTCACACATCAATGCTTAGTTCTGTTGCAATCAGGTACAATAAATCATATTTGGAAAAGTATCTGCTAAGCAAATGTTCTTCCCAAGTAAAAAGTTGAACATCTAGCATTCATCTGGTAGTGGAGACATGTTTCTCATTACTTACTGCACCTGTAATGTAAACTGCAGGCTTCTTCAAAAGAAGCTCAGACCTGACACAGTGAAGGGTCTTTCACCCTTGTACTCTACTCTTTTAGAAATGTGGTCTCTAGAGAAGCGTTTATAGAATATACAAAAGATGTTAGAACTTTCTATGATACACTTGAATCACCAAAAACAAAATAAGCTGCTGTTTGAAGCAACAAGAGTTTTCTACTGCTCTCTATGAAGCCAGAACCAAGAGGCTGGGCTGAACTGAGCTGCCTCCTGCAAAGCGAGGCCTGGAGTTACTTTGCAGTTTGATCAGAATTGATTCTACAGCAAAATCTCTGGTTTGATGCATGCTATTGACAGGAAAATAGTATGAAACTTGAAGGACTAATTAAAAAAGCCCTAAAAAAAATATTTTAGAGAGGAGCTAGAATGTCAACAAGTCCATAATAAACATTTTTCCTATGGTGCTTGTTCTTTTCATATGACTTACTGTGATGTTTCTGGGCTAACAGTTTAAAGCTTTTATAACTGTAAATGTATGTACCAAAGTTTTGCAGTCTGGTTGGAATCTTTCTTCCTTTGGCATCCATTTTAAAAAGGAAACATCAATACAGAGACATGTAAAGTGTTTTTTAATCATTGTGAATATTCCTAGCCAAATCCAAAGGTTATTTTGCCTTGGTAAATGTCTGCTGCTGCTGCCAAGGGCCCTGAACCAGGTTCTGTTTCCCTACCTTGGCAAAACACTTAAACAAGTGGTTAACTTCAATCACAGAACTAGAGAACTGGCATCAAGGGGTTAACCCTGTTTGTAAATGATTTCTAAGTTACCTACCAGCTCCTTAGAAGAGAGAAATTAGCTTCAAAATATACTTAAGCTTCTGTAGCTTCAGGGGCAGAAGTCACACAAATCGATAAGAATCAGTACTCAGTAGAAGAGAGGTCAAAGTTAAGATAAGAAAATAGAAATTTTGGAACAGAAAAGGTACAGTAGCTGTGACCTTGTACAACGTTATAAGCAGAACAGATACTGTGAAAATATTGCAAGTGTCAGATGCAATTACAGCAAGTAAATCCAGGTGGTAGTTGATATTTTTATTTCAGTTTAGATGTAGCATTTTTTTTTTTCCCCAGGAGTTGCAGTTTTTTTTCTGAATCACATTATGAGTGAGCTGACATGTCTGAAGTCAGCCATGAGAGAACTGCTAAGACTACTTAGATCCTGCATTTTAGCAAGCAGCAGAGACAGGCTAAGCAAAGTTAAATGCAACCAGGGAATAAGCCAGGAAGGTGCTGTGTTATCTATAGCGAATACAACAGATAAATGGAGTATGTTTATACTCAGCAGCAATTCATTGGTAAAAGCTGTTTTGAGAGCTATTGTTAGCCTGCAGAGGCAGGTGGTTAAAGTGTAATGCAGGCAGCTGGGAAGATTTGTGCCCAGAAGGCCTTGAAGCAAGAGATGACAGAATGTTAATGGAAATGGACAGATTTGATTCTTCTTGAGGTTATCTGCATCCTCAGCAATTCCACTTGTTTCCATTTTCCTTCACTAGGATTTAGCATCATCTTATGGCAGCCTGAATTGACTTTCAGTCCGTATTTGCAGCCTTGCAGAGCTTTAGCTGGATCTTGAACATCTTCATTCTATTGACTACAGCTCAACAAGATTTTATTTGGTGAGTTCTTGCACATTTGTATTTTTTTCTAGGAAAGCTATGTATATTTTCAACACTGTGGAAAATGTGTATTTGTTAGATTTTACATGATTCTTTGGCATATCTATTTACTAAGCTCAAACTCCATCCTAAAAAGATGGTGAATTCCTAGTACAGTCAGAAAAATCAATGTTGAAGAATGACAGCAGATAGACTCGTAAGTAGTATGACTTTGCCATGTGCTCAAGTATTTTTGGAGCCCAGACAGTACATTAAGATGTGACAGATTCATGTAGTTTATCTGGTGATTTATAAAGTTTGCTGGCTGATTTAATAGACTGCTAGAAAGCGTTGTTGTTCGACCAAGTAAAGAGAATCATAAAATGGTAATGAATGTTATGAAAGTTCATGAATATTTCATTTGGGGTCTCTCTCAGATGCCTGCTAGTTTATCTCAAGATCTACGAACGTATGGCATATAAATCTGATGGAGGGTAGAACTGCACAGTTCTCTGAGAGGCACATTTGGTGAGAGCAACATGTGTTTGAACAAGCATCTCAAAAACACTGTATCTTGGTTAAGTTCTTCATAACCAGCCATGAATTCTAAAGTATATCTGGAATTTTAAGCAACAGTCTTCTATTCATTCACTATTTGCACATTTAGAAACAGCAGTTAGTGTCTCTCAGCTTGTCATTTCTTCTAGCGACTTCTGAAAGTATTGGCTTCTTGTAGCCTTGGACTGTATTTGAAAAGGCCAGATGGATTCCCACCACATCGAATATTTCATCTCTGTACAGACCAGAGCAATATATAGTGCAGACGGATAGTCATGGTAAAGAAATCTAGAACAAGGGCTTCATGTTTTCCATCTTTAACATCCTCATGTGGGAGATGCATTCTCTATGCTACTTTAAATCCTTCTAATGTTTATGTTCTAATCAAATATGTATTCTATTGTTTCTAGAAAACCCCGAACACTTTGGATTGAAATTGGTTTGTTTTGTCCCTAGAAGCTGTATTTCACTGTCTTTCATTCACATCAGCAAAATGGATCTGCCTTTTCGTAACAATGCTGTCCTCCATCAGATGGACATTCTCCTGTTTCCATTTTGTTGCTAGTTTGTTAGCAATAAAACCACTTAGAACAGCATGCTTATAGATTTATGGAGCCCAAAGAGTTGCATGGCACTTAGTAATGATATAACAGCTTCTTAGAGCAAGGTTAGCTGCAATAGCATCATACCAGAAGTTCTGTTTAATAGGAATTACTTGGAAAAGCTAAAAACAAATATGAAGGACTTGAGAGGGCTTACATAAGTAGTTCATAGGTTTTCTGACAGAGAAAGAATCTGTTGGGACATATTCTCTGCTGCTAACTGTATCATGGCACACATGCACCATCCGAGAAACAAGAACAAGGGAGTGGTATTTCACAAAAACTACAGGGCCTCCACAGGTTGTCACGCAGCTTGAATCATCATTTGCGAAGGAAGTCAATTCAGTATTAAAACCTTTGTAGCGTATATCCCCATTTTCAGTAAAATAACTGACAATAACCTAGAAGTCTGTAAGCTACTCTGCTTTTATGAAATAAATTACTTGTGCAGTACAAAGAAAAATATATTTATCACAATTAATTATAATCAGCACAGCTAAACTGAGGTACAGTTCTGTGTAGGTAAGCCCGAAAACTACTTTGGGGATTATCGCATCTTGGAAAGTGATGCACTGAGTAAACAGCATTAGAAATTTTATAGTGAGTTCTGAGATGACTTGATCTATGTTTTCAAGATGGATGAGGAAGTCAGAAAATATTTCTAAATAATTGCTTGTTCAGTACTGGTTTCTGTCAAGAGCTGTTGTTTAAGCTAGAGGGAGAGGGATGCTGTCCTACAAGATTTGACTTATGTTTACAGTAATTTGTTTGGCCAGTACTTATTACTTAATAATCAATCTTTATTATTACGTTAATTCTAATTGGGATATGTGAAACATGCAGTGCATTGACCACATGACATCAGTTTACTTGCTGAATAATTTAAGCTATTTCCTTCTAATACCTTAGGCTGCAATGTCATTACTCTCAGGCTGTCCTAATATTCTAGTTATATTGATGTTATTTCACTTGTTATTACCTTCTTGACGTGAAATTGTTTTTCAAATATGGAAATCACGCTCAGATATTTCTAGATGACAGAATTCGGCATTAGTTTATAATGTATTATAATAATAAAACAGTGTAACATAAAGCAAATGATTTGTTTTCTGCTGTGTACTAGCCTTCATAGAAAGGAGACAAAAGATGCCAGAAGGGGAATTTTGGTCTGTACATTTTTTGTATATTCTTATCTGTTTTCCCAGAATGTGGGGAATAATCTTTCTGATAATACAGTAGAAACAAATGCGCAACCATTAAATAGACAGTGTGATTTATCCGGCTTCACACTGCTTTAGAAGCAGTATGTATCACTCTTGTGAGTTTTCTTCTGCTTAAAGAATTGTAAGAAATATGTCTTGCTATTACTTTTATTGATAAAACAGGCCAAACCACCTTAATTCATTTTTCATCCAGAGTCTTTTATCACAGCACGGTTGTGATTAGGATTCTGATCACCCAGTGTGCCACTCTGAGATTGAGAGGCTCTATCTGCTCATCTATTATTCTTCATGAAGCAAAGCTCTAGTGTACCATCTGTTTTCTTACTGAATCTTGCATGTAGCTGCAAAGAGCTGGTCACCAGAGATCGTGTCTGGCAAGCATGCTCTTGGTTCGCTTCAAGATAGCCAAGCATTCACTGCTATTGGCCTCTTTAAGTTCCAGCTTAAATTAAACTGCTGCTCTCTGGTGTATTTTAATTTACACATTTGAACTGGTAGCATGGTTGTGGGTTTTTTTGTTGCTTTTTTTTTGTTTTTCTAACAAAAAATCAAATGTGAAGAAACCCCAAAGCTACAAGGAAACATGCTGAAATTTTGTTGAGGGTGGATTGATCTTGTTCTTTAAAGCTTGAACTACTAAAGGTTGTTACATGTTGTTGATGCCTGCCCCTTATGATGCAAGAAGAGGTAGTTCCTGGTATGACCATGTGTAGGTAATTGGCATGGGCTAGCAGCAATCAACAGAATGTGTCTGAATATTATCTCCACGCAATTGTTCTTGTTAACCAAGGCCATGTAATCATCTTTATTTTTAGAAGAATGTAGGATTGGAAGGGGCCAGATGAATCCCCCAGACTGCACATTGTCATTGCAATATACAGTGTGGTGTGGCTGCCCATGGGGCAAGGTGCTGAGCACCATCACCTGCCTGAGATACTGCTGTCCCCTTCTGTACTGAGGTACAGCTGTACTCGCTACAACTGACTTTTCCCTGCCTTCCTCGAGGCTTTTCTTTCTTTTAACTTCATGATACTATTGAAGCTTCACAACCTGCAGTATTTTATAATAGTCTTCGCTATTCCCCAAAGTACAATAAAAAGTAGCTTTTGAGGCTCCTCTTTTTGATCCATTATTTAGAGCCTGATTTGTGCTGTCTGCAATCCCCACATCAGTGCCAGTGGTCCTGCAGTTCTGCAAATTCCCTTCAGTACTAGACTGAAGTCATAAATCTTTTTTTAGGACGTATTTAGATATCATCATAGCACAATTTTTTACAATCTGCTCCTCTTACCTTGGATTTTGTTTCCATAGCAGAAAATGACTGTCCTAAGGAAACAACTTTATTTCTTACTGACTTTCAGTTTCCAGATTAAATTTTTGCTTGGCAACAAAACTTCCTTTCCCAAGATAATGGTTGCACAGCATTGGTCCTGGGCTCAGCTCAAGCAAACATTTGTGTTTGAACAAAACCTGGCTATTTTCCCCATATGTTCAGTAGGACTCTGGGAACAGAGCCCATACTGGGTAAGCAAGTCCTGAAGTCATTAGCTCTTTGCAGATTCTGCATCAAGGGTTGTAGATTATTAGATAATGTCAGTAGTAAAAAGGGAGTTTATTTTCATTCCTGTAAATAACAGCTTTATAACATGCGCACACTAGTGCAAACAATCTTTTCTTTTTCCCCTTTCACAGCTGAGCGAGAAAACGCTTTTTACCTTAAATATGCCAAGGCCTTTTTTCACTTCCATTCAATTTATTTTGTGATGTAAAATGTTCTGCCCGACATGGTAGGTCAGTGATGTCACATGGCAATCTGCTCATGTAATTCATTCATAATGCCATTGCTGCACACATTAATTGATAACACAAGTCAATGACAGGGTCTTTGGTCTGGGCAACTTGCAGCCCAAGTGCCAATTATGTCATGTGATATGATGCAAATCCACAGAGTCACCTGTGTGCTGCTGGCTATTCGAGTGCAAAGAGGTTCTGCATGCTTTGTCTTTGCTTCCCCAAGAAATCATGTTCTTCTTTCAAATATCCCAGAAGGGATATTCACTCAACTTTGCTGAGTGAGAGAGTGAAAATGCATGTGAGCATGCAAGTTACATAAGAGACAGTATAACTGCCCTTCCTGAAAACACTTTTCTGCAAGGCAGGTCTGGGTAGAAAGGGCATGAACACGAGCTTTCTGGGTGGCTGCTAACTTTCTGTTCACGAGGAAAATGGCAGTACTGCATCCTTCTTTCCCCTCTTCAGCTGCAGGTGCAGCTGCAACTGAGTCAGGAGCTCCATTCTCCCACTTGCATCTGTGAGCAGAGCCACAAGGCAGCCTCAGAGAGCACTGACTGCAAAGCCCTGCATCTCAATTAGCTGAGGGGTATTGGGGCTCATGTCTCTCCAAATTGCATTGATCTGAGGCACAAAAAGAACAATTCTGGGTTCACATGCTTCCAGGGTATACGGGGGAGTGGATGTTTTTGCATGTGAGTGCTTCACTTCTTCCTAAATCCCTCCCACTGAGTACACAGTCCCTTGTTTTTAGCAAACACCTTCAACTTTTACAGCATTAGTTCCATCAGTTTATTTTGTTGATCACAAAATGTAGATAACTAAAAGTTTTAGGGCCAGATTCAGA